TTTTTTTTAGGATCTGAATTTTCAGCTTCTACTTTTTATTTCCTTTTGCAAATCAGCTCAGCTCAACACTTTTTCCACTATCATTTTCTGGGGTGGGCCGTAATTCTCGCTGAAATTGTAGTTTTTTTAATGTAGTGTAGGACCTATAAACACTTGTCTTTTTCTTCTACCTGCGACCCCCCTGGGGGTTGTGACCCACAGGTTGAAAAACACACTGCTTTAGATATTGAAAATTAAATAAAGAACATTATGTTAATTTAAGCGTATAGAAGTGTTGCTGTTGTTCCAGAAAAGATCTTATTTTCACTTTACCGAGTGCCTAGTAGGTAATTTGAGATATAGAACAATTTTAGCAACTTTAACAGATCACCCTAGTTAATCTGCAGATTAGCTAGGTAATGTACACATTAATGACTTTCGAGCTTTAGCGGTAACATATACAATACATGTGTATTGTATTGTATTATAAATATATATATGTATACACTAGAGCATCAATTATCCGAATGTCGATCAACCGAAATGTCAGTTAACCGAAAGCATTCTGGTCGGACTGTGTTGTGCTGAATTGAATGTTTTTGATACTAGATTAGCTTCTAAAGTATAATTTTTTTTTGTTTTTATATTTTTCAATATATTTTTTTTGCTTGTACAAAGTAAAGAAATAATTTTTAATGATGCAATAGCCACGATTATTATAAAAACTTTCGTTAGGCTTAACATTGACGAAAATTCAACACGAAACAACATGCAACAGAGAAAAATTTAAACATGNTTGATTCGCATAACACGGCAATTTTTTGGAACGTAACTACCGTGTTATACGGAGGTTACCTGTACGTTTTAATTAGCTTAACCTTGCTAAAACTCCGTTCACCTTTGGCCACCGTAACCGGAATAGTTACAAATATTAGGAAATGTATCTTGCCAATTATTTAATGCTAAGATCTGAAGGACTGCTTTCGGATGACCTTTATCAATATCTAAAAAACATTTTTAAACACATAATTTCTCTTGAAAGTTCCAATCCCGAAATATCGAAATTATGATCATGCGTTAGTTCTTCCTCCAACTTTAGGCAAGCTTCTTTCAAATTTTCATCGGTCTTATTGAAATCATAGAGGAAAGACCAAGTCTCATTAATTGTAGTAAGTTGCGTGAAGCGTGTCTCTCGAGTTTATAGCAGTGTCTAACAGGATAAAAAACATTTGTTCTGAATAACGTTTCTGGATCCATTGGCGCGTCATCTTCATTTGGGAACATTTTTTTTTTCTTTTTTCGTGCGCGGATTGTTTCAAACTCCGGGCTTATTTCAGCTTCTTTAGCTATGTCCTTAGCTGCAATGAGAGCATTTGTTAATCCTTCGTCTGTATATTCTTTCAAAAATTTCAAACATTTGTGCATCATTTTTGTTGCATCTGACAGGTCTACGCGCTCTGATTGCATGGATTTGTCGACAAGATTAACATGGAATAAAACGTCGTACCAAATGACTAACGACAGCAAAAACTCGAACTTCTCCAAATTGTGTGCAAACGATTTAGCTTCTGAACATGCCACGGGATCACTGTCGGTATTCTTCTTCCAATGTACTTTTTACTTCGGCGTACATCGCTTGCCAACTAAAACAGCGGCGCCTGCGGTGGCAACTCTGATGATGTAACCTAGGGGGGTGAAACCCCGCTCACGCACTCGACCCACGCGCGTCTCAACAGATAAGGCCATTCACATACTACCACACGCTTGCAATTAAAATATCGAAAAGTGAAAAAAATATTTTTTCCTTTAATTTTCTTTACCACTGAGGCGCCCTCTAGGGCTTAACGCCTGGAGCGGCTGCTCCATTCGCCCTATGGTAGGGCCGGTTCTGGAGGCAGTGATGTTTTCGGGTTCGTGAGACTCCGTTGGTCGGTGACGGCAGGGTTTTGGTATCGGCACCCAGACGAAAAAGATTCGTCTCCAGTTTTTATTTGACACAGCACTTCCGATGTTCACACACTTTTGTCTTGACTCGCCGAGTTTTGTGTCGAGTGCAGTCTTGCCGAGTGTCCCCCTTTGTCCTTCAAGATCGGGGATTATATCAATCTCCGCTTTTGGTTTTGTTTTCTGATTGGCTCCCTCGTCTGTCTCTAAGCGAAAAACAATTCCTTTTCGAGTCACGAGAAAGATCCGCCTTGAAGAATTTACTTGACACCATCCGTTATTCTGGCTGCAAAATGTTGATGAAACTTTGAAACTTGCGCTCATATTTTCCACCATTGTTGTCTAGTCTGTGACGTTTTTGAAATTTTAACGACACGACGCAATGTCCTTTTTTGTCATTAACCTTTCCTCTTTTCAAAATTTCTATGTTCTAATTATGTGCATATGAGCGACTCTTCAAAGGTCCATCTCTACTGGAGGTCGTTTGTTTACAATTATTAATCATTTAAAATTATTACGTTCTGTTTACATCAATAGCGTTTTTTTTTTTTCTCTCGTTGCGGTTTCATATGACTAACACAACTAATTCGATCTTTGATCGGTTTTTAACAATAGACGATTTTTTTAGTTTCGTTTTAATAAATTTCTAATAATAAATATTTAATTTCAATTCATTTTTGGGGCCTCACAATTTAGTAAAATAGTCGAATATTATTATTTTTTTCAACCCTCCTTCTCGGTGGGCACTAAGAGGGCCTCTTTAGCAACTCCATTACGGGTTCGGTCAGGCCCACAATGGGGTGACCCGACATATCCAGACGGACCACCCGGGTCCCTTGAGCGGTAGACTGCCATCTTGACCGCTCGGTTGTCCGGCCATTATTATTACATTAAAATAATTCAGAGAAAATATGTATTCAGTTCGAATGGAAGACTGTAAACATACAACTACAGTGGTCTAACTGGGCCTGCGTACAGGACGTTGTGTACTTAGTGCTTATCGTCCTTCAGGTAACCCCTTGTATCCATTGGCGCTGTGCTGTAAACGCAGCTAGTCAACGTGAGTCAGTGTACAGTTGTCTGCTTATCGTGCTTCACATACTGTGGATACGTTCTGGCGTCATGGAGGGTAACTACACATTTGGAGAACTTGCTGATATGCAAATTCTTTATGTTTCATTCATCATACCGATCGCATAGAACGCGCAAAGTGCTGTAGAAACTTTACATGACATTTTCGGCTATAGGTTCCTTATATCAAAACATTCAAAATTTCATCCTCTACAATCCCCCAAATTTTTAAACGTCATTCTGATACACTCTGTATCTGCATATATATACATAAATTATTAAATACTGTATAACAAAATCGGAAAGGTCGTAGATTGAATAGATAAAAAATAAATAAATTGTTACGGGTAAGAATGGAAACCAAGAAAACGAAATTGAATTTTACTTGAATGTTTAGGACAAAAAATATTATTTATGTACGTTATTTGATAGATAATTTTTAAAGTTAAAATCGAATTTTAAGCGGAAGATCAGTAATAAAATTTTCTTTTGTGGTTTATAATTATTATTTTTCGGTTAGAAAAATGGTTTTCTTATCATTTTGACAATTAACGGAGTAGGCGTCAGTTTAAAGACGGGTGTCGAAACGCGATCCTGGTGGCGGTAAATTGAACTGTCTGTGATATTTTTCATCCCTGATAGGCAATGGTTCTGTATATAATGGTTTTGTCCGTATCCGTAAATTGATTCGTTAGTCATACTCTTAATCTATATTTTCATTTATGATTGCGTTTGTTACTTCTGTCCTTTTAATTTTATCGCAATGTTGGCATTGATACCATGAGAGTTTTACTTGTATTCCGAGTTTAAGCCAGGGCGTGCGTGTCAGTGACATTCACGTGATAAAGAACAAATTGTTCTTGCGATGTGAAACATGGAGAACGATCGAGCTACGCCGATGTTAGACTCTGCACAGTACTTAAGTAAATTAGGTGAGAAAATAGAATTATTCTGATTTACTTTGGTTCGTATTTAATTTGCATTTCGATTTATTTCAGAATCTCGTTTAGCTAGAATAAAAGATAAAAATAAAGAACCGACGCCTAAAGAGATTTTAACGTCTCTGCAACAAGCCAAAGAGAGTATTTTGGGAATTGAAAGGAGTCAAAATGAATCCAGTTCCTTTCTGTCCGAAGAGAGCGGAGATAAACAAGTTTCGTCGTCTTCTATAGAGGTAAAAACCTACGTAAATCCATCTGTGAATTTCAATATAAGGGGAAGTTTTGCTTATTTTCAATTCAAAGTATACAAAGGTTTATTCTTCCCTACTTAATAGTGATGTTGCGGCCAAAGTTTTTCTCTAAAATGTGAATGTTGAGCCACTGCTCAATGTTTGCATTTTAGAGATGAAAATTTCGGCTGCAACCTTGCTAATAATTTGCTAATGAGTATAACAGACATCAAATATTATGCATTATTGTTGCTATATAAAAGATCTAATTTAGACTGGTTCTGAGCTATAACATGTAAGAGGCTTCCCTATCCAGCAAATACTATGATTTTTGACTGTATAATAAGGTCAACCCTTGAATAATAAATTTAAAAGTGAGAGACCCTAAGCAGTAGCTATTTAACTTATATATAAATCTAGTCCTAACTATGCATTGTAGCTAATTACAGCAAAACCTTGCTTTACAGCCACCCATAAAATTCCCTGGTAAAACTGCATAAGTTTTAACAAAAATCAAACTCCATCTTGATGGCCAAGGTAGAAGTGTCCTAAAGTGACATTTATATCCATTTATATAGCCAATAGAATAGGAAAATCCCACATTCCTAAATTCAATCTATTGTTTAAAGTACTATTGTTGCTATGGTTATGGAACAGTTTGCCAAGATCTGTGTTAAGTATTTAACAGGATTTAGTATGTTACTCTAATTACAGTTCTGTTTGTCAATTTTTTCATAATCTTGCTTGTGACCAGAAATTGTATACTGCAAAGGTGACTGCATAAGTGATGATTTACTGTATTTGTCGTTAGAATGAAGTCTTATATGATGAGACATTTAATTAAGATGGATTGGATTAAAAACTCTTACTTTCATTTATTTGATGTTTTTGTCTGACATTTATTTTGGATTCAAGACAGCATCAGACTTCAATAGAGTCTAAAGAATCTCAAAATTCAGCTCAGTAGGGATTGAAACAAATTCCATATCTTACTTACTATACATAACATATACTGTATCAGTGGTTTGTCTATGAAACATTGCTGTATACTTAGTAAAGAGATCTGCAGTTGAGATGTCATGATAAACTTCTGCTTTGATGTAAGGACTCTTCAACAGACTTGATAATTTTGTATGATGTATTTGATATCAAGGCTTGCTTCTTTTGAGAGAGACAATGCTTGAAATACTAGGCATAGTAGGTAACTGCATACCACTGCTCTATCAACCTGGATGTTGCATTAGTAAATGTTAGCAGTTTGTAGTGGCATGTTTTGTAAACAATGCTTGGGTAATTTAAGCTGATCCCTCCCATACATTAGTATAATCATTCCAATGAGATGACTATCCATCAAAAAAGTAGTATATTGACATGATGAGTTCTGAGACATCTTCACCAAGTTCACTTAATGCTTTCATATATGCATTAAGTGTTGTGTGAATACTGCAAATGCCAATATCAACCAGCCCTTTCCTCCTAATTCCTAGCTCATCCTCATTAGAGATTTATGACTTTTTTGTTAATGTTGGGATTATCTAAACTAATTATATGAGTAGTTTATGCATTGAAAAGTTTGCATTTTTGAGGATATTACAATGCACAAGTGAAGTTTTCCATCAGTTTGTTCAAGAAAACAGATATTCAAATATTTGGAAACAATTTGGTTTTTTCCCCCTCTGACCAAAATCTGATCAAGACCTGTAACTTTATTCTCTGCATTGCTGATTTCATTGTAGCTAATGGTAAAATTGTCGACAACTTCTTTTACCATCTACTTTTGAAAATGACCTAATGATGATGTTAAGTACAGTAGAGCGTCGATTATCCGAATCAGTTGGGGACTGTGGTTGTTTGGAAAATCAATATTTCAGATAACCGATTACGTATGAAAAAATATATTAACCTATCCCATGTTGAAATTTTTCTCTGTTGTGTGTCACTTTGCGTTGAATTTTCGTCGATGTTAAGCCTAACGTAAACTTTTTAAAATAATAATCGTGACTACTGTATCGTTAAAAATTATTTCTTTATTTTGTACAAATGAAATAAATATATTGAAAAATATAAAAACAATAAAAAATTATACTTCAGAAGTTAATTTAGTATCAAAAACGTAAAATATTTGAGTAGCCCAAGACATAGCCAAAGATTGCAGCGCCACAGCACTGGCGAAAATTTAAATTTGCC